TTGGCTTGCTCCAAGTGGACCACAACAGCTAGGACTGGACAAGGCCACGCCAGGAGCTGGACTGTAAGTGGAGCAGCCTGGACTCAAACCAGTTAGGGATACTAGTAGCATTGTCAGAGACAGCTTACCCTGATCTGCCAAGCACTGCCCCTGTTTTTTGTGCCTTTTTTTTTTTTTCATTTATATCCTTTTGTAATTTTTTTAAAAGATTTATTTATTTTTATTGGGAAAGCAGATGTACAGAGACAGAGAGAAAGGTCTTTTGTTCACTGGTTCACTTCCCAAATTGTTGCAATGGCTGCAGCTGAGCTGATCTCAAGCCAGGAGCCAGGAGCTTCTTCTGTATCTCCCTTGTGGGTTCAGGGTCCCAAAGCTTTGGACCATCCTTTACTGCTTTCCCAGGCCACAATCAGGGAGCTTGGAAGGAAGTGGAGCAACTGGACATGAACCAGTGCCTATATATGATGGCACTGGAAGGTGCATGGAAGGTGGGGATTTAGCCATTGAGCCATCCTACTTGGGCCCCATAGTCCTGATTTTTTTGGTATTTCAGACCAGCACCTCCAAAGTGTGGTTTTCAGTGCTAGTCTGCAAATATTTTTCTGATTTATGGTAGCTGAAGTTGGAACTTTAGAGTAAACCTTCACCAACTTGGCATTGCTGTTATACCTAAGCATATGACTTAAAAAGATGGTGGAGGGGGCTAATCTTTGGCCAGTAGTTAAGGCAGTGGCTGGGAGACTGCTCCAGCCGGGAGTCTGGTACTCACATCATGCTACTGGGCGTCATTTCTAGCTGTTGGCTCCTCCTTCCAGCTTCCTGGTAATACAGACCGTTGGAGGCATTGGTGATGATGGTTCTGATAGTTGGGTTGCTGCCTTGCCTGGCAGACCTGGATTGGATTTCTAATTCTTGACCTTTTCCTCCAGTGTTTATCCCCCACCTCTTCCTTGTAGGCGTTTGGGGAAGTGAATCACCAGATTGGAAGCATGCTACCTCTCTCTACAAAACAAACATTAAGATAACACTTCTATTTCATTCTGTAGAAGTTCTTTTTTCCAGTGAATCAACAATTTTAGAAAATAATCTTTCATTACAAAGGGTTGTAAATGCTTTGTTAGCTCTCTCATTCTATTGTTTGCATTACTTACCTGTTCTTACCATGTTTATCTACCATGTTTATCTCCTACCCGTGTAGGAGACCCTCCAGAAGCTCTTGGCTCCGAGCTTCAGATCGGCTCAGTCCCGTCGGTTTAGCCACTTGGAGAGTGAACTAGGAGAAGGAAGATCTTTCTGTCTCTCTTTCTCGCTGTAAACCTGCCTTTTCAATAAAAAGAGATCAATCTTAAAATAGAAAGAACCCTTCACAAAAATTTTAAAAATTAAAAATCTTACTTTCTAATTTCTTATTTGAGTCAGGGTATATTTATCCTAATGTCTAACTTTTCACTGAATTAAACATTTATTATACTCTTTGTTTTATTTTATATGTGATATAGCCTTTTAGTTGCTTGAAATATTTTTCTTCCTCAAACGAAAGATCTTTAGTTTAATTCTGCTGCCTCTTGTTTGTGTTGACGCTCATCTATCCACTCTGGTAGCCCTGTATATTTTGTGATTTCTTCTTCCTTTTAAAATATACACTTTTGGAAAGTTTCTAGATTCTTCGAAGCCTGTATTCAAGCTAGTTTCTTTCCTAGACTTTTCCCTATGCTTTCTCTACTTGCCTGCTAGCAACAAGGGCATTTTAAATGGTATCTTCATATGAGATATATTGGCTTATGTAAATAGTGTGAATTTAGTATGAGAACCTTTGTGAAGGCTACTACTCGGGCAAATTGAAATATTCTTGAAGTGACAAAATTATCATCTCGGGGTTTAAACCTGCCAGCAGCCCCGAGGTCACTGAGGGGAAGAGCCCCCAGAGACAAGCTGGGGAGGAGTGTCCACTTGGTTATGCACAACTTCCGAGTCTTAAAGACGAAGGAAGGCAGGGAAGAAGGGTGTCTTCTGGCAGTCTCCCCCCGACCAAAGACACTGCAATTGGCTATAAGGCCTATTTCACTTGACCTTCTGGTCATATCAGAGGTCATGTTCCACATGTATTCAAGTTGACCTTCTAGCCATGTTGAAGGTCACGCTCCACATGTAGGTCTGGAAGCTGTGCCTCACGTCGTGGGCAGGTAAGCAGTGAGCCACGGCCACCAGGTCGCAGGCAGGGGCCCAGGGGTGATGGCCCACCTTAACAAGATGCAACACGGATTGTGGACGGGGGTTGAGGAGTAGGTATAATTGTTAAGAGGTAATAGGAGGGAGACCTTTGTGGTATCATTTGATATTACCATGAAGATATAGCCCTTTGGAATATCAACATTGTGTAAATGTTTGTTTATTTATGTTTTAAAAAATTTATTTGATGGGTGGAGAGACCAAAAATCTGTTGTTTAATTCTCGAGATGGCCATAAAGGCGAGGGCTGGCCAGTCTGAAGCCAGGAGCCAGGGTGACAGGGGCCCAAACATTTGGGCCATTTTCTGCTTTCTCAGGTGAATAAGTAAGGAGATGCATTGGAAGTGGAGAAGCTGGGTCCGGTGCAGTTGCGTAGTGGCTAAAGTCCTCACCTGCGTGTTCCAGGATCCCATAAGGGTGCCACTTCGGTTAGATGTGTTTGTTACATAGCATACTGTAGGAAGTTAATGTAAATGTGTATTAGCCTTGAACTTTAAAAAATATCCTCATACAAATAATCAGAAACATGTATGGTAAGATAGAGTTTTTAAGAAAAAGCTAGATTGAGAAATCTATAAAGTGGAAGGATTTGTAGATACATGAAGGACAAATGATTAGTTCCACGGAGTGAGATGAGCAGAGTAATGAGTACGTCAGGTGAGTTGTTAGGAATGATGGATGCAGCAGCTGGCTAGGAGTGACTTGTACGCAAGTGATGAACGCGGTACGGGAATGATGGAGCTCAGCAGAAGTCAAGCAGGCAGAGACTGGCTTCGTACTACCAACTACAGGGAAATACGTGTATTTTACTACAGTTGGAAAAGATACAGCACCAGTTACAGATTCCCCAAAACAATTTAAAATTGCACAAATAGCAACCGGTAAACTAAAGCATGAATCTGAGTACTGTTTTATGATACCTAATTGAATTTGGCAAAAATAATAATCAGCATAGTATTTGTTCATGGTGGAAAAATTAGAAAGTAATGAACTATATGGGACAAATGAAATTCTTGATAGAGTTCCTTAAACCATAGCTAAACGATACAATTCTAGTTAATTCTGCTCTTTTAGATTGTGGAAAGTCTCTCTCCCTCTCTCCTTATTGGAAGGGCCTACATGCACATATACCAAGCGCATATGTGTATACACTATTTTATATATCTGTGTGTATATATTTAATTGCATCTCAACTATATTTGAAGATTATTTGAATGCTAAACAGATAGGTCGTCTGTGTATTGTTTCACACCCCAAATTGCCGCTCTGGCTGAGGCTGGGTCACGTTTAGCCTGGGAGACGCGTGAGTGGTGGGTCCCCACGTTCCTGGACCACGATGCACTGCGTTCGCAGACACCAGTGGCAGGGAGCTGGGCTGGAAGTGGAGCAGATCAGACTACAAGGAACGTGAACAACCCAAGCCACAGCTTAACTGCCGTGTTAGAGTTTATGTTGAGCAGGAGACAGAGTTCTCGTATACGGACTCTCCCAAGGATGCGCAGTTTTTATACAGGGTATTTTACTATGTGTGGGAAAATATTCCACATTTTTGAGTCAAATATGTATTGTTTTGGAAAATCATCTACAAATGGTCGTTTTACTCTCAATGCAAGATTCTCCACCCACAGCACTAACAATATGTTGGATCAGATAATTCTTGGTTGTAGGGCTCTGTTGTAAACGGCACCGGATGTATGAAGCCAAGACAACTGAAGTGGCTCTTGACATTGCCAGATGTCTTTTGAGGGGACAGAAATCACCCCTCTGTGAGAAGCATCACTCTATGCAGTTTGCCGTGTTTTAGAATTTTCTGTATTTTTTTAGATTGGGCCCAAGCTTGAGGGCTCTGATTTCAGTGACTTCCCACTGAGGTTGCACACTCGGTCTGTCCTGCCATATGGGCACTGTGGGCAATATGGGTAATCCTACAGAGTCTTGGTTTTAGCTTAAGCAGAGAAAAGTTGGTAAGGTAAATTCTCTAATTACGATTTACTGAGGAAGCTGGAGTTGTCTGCAGCCTTTGTTGACGTACCTGGGTTCGAGTTCTGTCTCTGCACCCAGTTCCCTCTGGAACAGCAGGTGTGGCTCAGCAGGAAGGTTGCTGTGGCCCGCATAGGAGACTCATAATCGAATCTGGGGCTCCTGGCTTTGGCCAGCTCTCCTTAACTTGAGGATTGAAGAGCAGTTTCTTTTAGCTGCCTTTCAAAAAAGTAAAAGTAAAAAATATTTTAATTAATGTTTCCTTTTCTCAAAGTATTTCTGTACTGTCTGCACTTTTTCTCTTAGCTGTCAGAAATTCGTTAGAGCTTTTCCCTGAGGGATCCAGTGTTTAGGGATTTCAGGAATGCTATACTTACGGACGGTAAAGACTCGAGATAGTCACGGCGTCAGTTGTATAGTGTTTTTCACTGAGTTAGATTGTGAGTTCAGATTCTGTGTTTTACCTGTGTTCAAACTGATCGCATCATGTTCATTAAAGGACTCTGAGCTTCCCAAATTGAAGGCAGCGTTGGATGTCAGCCAACATGTTGTCCTTCAAAGTTTTTATACTCATATATGAAGTTCCACAAATTGTAGCAGCTTATGTGGCAACTCCAATAGAGGTAACTGGACTTTGTCAGTTTAAACTTGGTCCACTAAAGACTTGTAAAAATTTGTAACAGTTTACGACAGGTAATATCCACTTGTCCACTTTGTAGAATTACCAACCATTGTTAACTAATAAATTAAATGCTATGATATAATTTGATGTATTCTTATTTCTCCTTGCAGGAAATTTCTGATGAATTGGTGAAGATAGGAAAGCTGCACGGAACGTGGTAACACTTTTGTACTGTAAGTATTTCTTTGACAGAGAAATCTAAGTTAAGAATATTTTGTGATCCAGTTGCTTGAAGGAAAAAAGATATTTGGCTGAGATAGTATATATAATACATAGAGGAGGATATGTTAAATTAATAATTTACAAGAACTGATTCTATACAGACTTTAAACATTGCAAAGGCAATCTTATGTATTGAAATGAAGATTTTTACCAACAACATTGAAAAATGTTTCTAATTCTAATAAGGATTGATCTGGTTTATGTACATTTGCTTATTTAAAACTCCCAGAATCGAGAAAATCATTGTAGTTTTGTAGGTTGTGATTCGTTTGGGTGGTTTATTGTTTAGGTTATTTTGCAGAATTATTTATTTGCTGATTTATTTATGTATTTCATTATTTATTTATTTGATTATTTAGTAAATTATTTATCTGTTGAATTATTAATACATCTTCATGACATGCTTTAAATTATTTATAACTTAATTTTGAGTTTATTGCTTTTAGACGCTGCATTGTTACTGACTAGTTTTGATTTTTTTCTTTGTGGTTCTTGAAAATTAAAGTATTAGCTTTAAGGCAAGAGTATGTTCATTGAAGCGCCCATGGATATATTTTTTTGTAATTTATGGTGGAGATGTAATTTCAGTTGTGCTTTGTTTAGCTTTGAATTTACTTTCTGAGGGTTACTGGTGACAGAATGTGGGTTGTGTGCATACTCATTGTGGAGTTACTTACAGATTAATGATTTTGCCTGTCATCTGCAAACAGAGATTGAACATGTCAACTTCAGTCCACATTACCCTTTGTATTTCTGAAGGACAGGTCTGAGTTGCCAACTTCCTGGAGAATACATAAGGGACTCTTGGTTACTTCATTTTAGTGGCACATCTGTTTAACCACTGGAATATTCTTAGCAAAGTTCAGAGGCAAGAGCAACTTATATTTGGATCTCTGAGATGTAAACTTGACTGATAGATTCAGTCCCTGTTTATATGGATATTTGAAAAATAACATGCTTACACAGATTCTTATAAATTCACAATGACGTACTCATATCTTTAATTGAAAACTTTATGTCATTTTATTTTACAGAACCAAAATGGACAGAGATATTTGTAAATATGAAATATAGTTTCTGTAATTTTAGCTTATAATTCTTTTATATACAGTTTTCTATTTTTGGCCAAGTAAGGTTACTTCTCCTTTGTTCTACCTCTGTTTCATGACACAGTGCACTTAGCGCTCTCTTTGTGAATGCTTTTCCTGAGCAGGTTAAGTAGCTGCTTGGGAAAGGAGTGCCAGGTGAACACCATGATCTTTATTTTGTATTTTCTCGCTGTGGATTCGTATGTACTTACAGCTTTAACACTTCAGAGAGAAGCTGTATTATACATCTCAAGTTGAATTGCTATTGAAATGTAGTGAAAATGGCCTCTTTAGATAGGTTTCACTATAGAATTGTAAATTTTGTATATACACCCACATTTCTTATTTTGAAATATTGGATATATGAATATTTAATTAGGATATTGCCTTGGTATCTTTGTGTGTTTGCCTTAACGATGTGTTTCCCTTGGATCTATTTGGATGTATTCAGAGGAGTATTTCTCACATGTGTCTCTGACTTTCCTGTTCTAAAGAGGAGCAAGGACAGATAAAATTAGAAATGGAATTTTCCTTTTCAGTTATATGTATATACATATATATTATATATATACACATTCAGTATAGTCTTTTTAAGAAAAAAAATTCCTTCTTTGATGTTGAATAAGAGCTATGTTGGCTGCTGAGACAATCTACCCAGCTCGCATTATTAACATATTGGTGGAGTGCTGTGTCATCTGATGTTTCCCTTTGAGGGCACACATATGTGTGCATGTGTGCGCATCACAGCGCGTGAAGTGTCACTCCCACGCCCTCAGTGTCTGCGAAGAGATGTGGTGCAGACCTTCAGGGCGGTGCTTAGCCACAGGCACGGTGCTGCTCTTTTACCTGGGCTGTCTGCTGATCTCCCCTCTAAGCACTGTTACTTCCACTTTCAGGGTAGGGAAGTAGATGGGAAGAAACTTGCCCGTTGCCGCACAGCTTAGAGTAAATGGTGATGTTGGAGTTAGTGCTAATTTATTCTTGGGTAAGAGTCTTTCTTAGCTTGTTAGAGTGTGAAACAGAAGAAAGTATCATGTAATTTTAGCTAGTTTTTTTTTTTTTCAAATGTACTTGTATGCTTTTAGAGAATCTGACTTGGTAGGTTCAACTAGCTCAGTGCATTCGCTTTGTGTTGCAGTTAGTCATCTTAAAGAACAGACTTGTGTTTGAGTGCATGTTCTGATTTGATTCTTGTTGCAACCCTGCATAGTTTAGCAAATATATAGAGAAGAAAAACTTGTCCCCTGGGGAGAGTGTTTGCCTGGGAGTTTTCCAACATGTAGATCAGCTCTTTTGACTAGTAAGGATCGTTCCCAGGGTTCTTGTTCGGTTAAAACTGACTTCCTTACAACAGTGTCATCCGAATCAGACACATTTTTGTGCTGTTAAAAGAATGGCTAAATGACTGATGCTTAGAGTTTGGTAGAAATGATCAGAATTACACTATTAAGATAACCCTAAACATGATTTTTATTACACAGCCAAGCATGTTGTTCTGTGGCTGAAAAGGATAAGAAAATAGCCAATTCTAATTTGAAGAGATTAGACATGGTTACATAGCGTGTCTGAGAGTCAGGAATGCTTGCGAGTTTGGTGTGAAGCTAAGAGGAAAGGTCTGTCAGTCACACTTGCTACCTAAAGAGAGAAGCCTCTGTTGTGGGTGTTGATTAAATGTTTGAGGCAGATTAAAGACAGATGAATTAGGTAACGAACAGAATTTGGGTGATGAGAGTGTGAATGCATTTAAGTCACCACGTCTGTGTGAAGGGCAGGGGGTTAAACAGATCACTTTTTTTTTTTTTTTAAAGATTTATTTTTATTATTTTTTATTGGAAAGGCGGATATACAGAGAGGAGAGACAGAGAGGAAGATCTTCCGTCCGATGATTCACTCCCCAAGTGAGCGCAACGGGTCGATACTATGCCGATCCGAAGCCAGGAGCCTCTTCCGGGTCTCCCACGCGGGTGCAGGGTCCCAAAGCTTTGGGCTGTCCTCGACTGCCTTCCCGGGCCACGGGCAGGGAGCTGGAAGGGAAGCGGGGCTGCCGGGATTAGAACCGGCGCCCATATGGGATCCCGGGCGTGCAAGGCGAGGACTTAACCACTTGCGCCACCGTGCCGGGCCCAAACAGATCACTTTTTAAGAAAAAAAAATAATTATTTTTAATGGGAAGATGGATATACAGGGAGGAGGAGAGAGTGGAAGATCTTTCATCCAATGCTTCACTCCCCAAGTGGCTGCAATGGTTGTAACTGAGCCAATCTGAAGCCAGGAGCCCAGAGCTTCTTCTAGGTCTCCCACGCAGGTGCAGGGTCCCAAGGCTTTGGGCCATGCTTGACTGCTCTGCAGGCGACAGGCAGGGAGCTGGATGGGAAGTGGGGCAGCCGGGATTAAAACCGGCGTCCGTGTAGGATCCTGGCACGTTCAAGGCGAGCACTTTAGCCACTAGGCCACCGTGCTGGGCCCAAGCAGATCACTTTTTAACGACAGAAATCTTTCTCAAGTGAACAGTGTTATAAAATCCTTGAGACATGTGACTTTGGTAATCCAAAATACTGTGCTAGCAAGGAATGTTCATATCATATTTATTTTAATCCAAGGCTGTTTGGGAGTGAAAATTTGAATTGTTATGCCTGCATAATGAGGATAAACCAGTACCTTCTTGGGCAAATTGTCACTGTAGTCACACGAAGAGTATCTCATCTTGCTGTAGATTTATTCCTATAGTCCTGTGTGCTGCATTTTTAACACACAATAAAAGATCTTCATGAGAAAAAATTTTATGACAGCCAACATTTTCATCTTTCACTATGCTGACCAAGAATGTTATAACTTTAAGTAAGTGTAATTGATGCATTATAGCTTTTTTTTTAAAGATTTATTTTTATTATTTTTTTATTGGAAAGGCGGATATACAGAGAGGAGAGACAGAGAGGAAGATCTTCCGTCCGATGATTCACTCCCCAAGTGAGTGCAACAGCCGATGCTATGCCGATCCGAAGCCAGGAGCCTCTTCCAGGTCTCCCACATGGGTGCAGGGTCCCAAAGCTTTGGGCCATCCTCGACTGCCTTCCTGGGCCACAGGCAGGGAGCTGGAAGGGAAGCAGGGCTGCCGGGATAGAACCGGCGCCCATATGGGATCCCGGGCGTGCAAGGCGAGGACCTTAACCACTGCGCCACTGCGCTGGGCCCGCATTATAGCTTTTTGAACCTATATTTAAGGAAAAAGAAAATTTGTCTAATTGTAGTGGATAGTTCTGAAGTTTTTTTCCCCTCATATTGCATATTGCAGAATTTTTTTTTTGGTATGCCTAATAAATCTCTTAGTTGGTAGCCTATTTGGCATTGTACTGAAAGATAATGCTATGTATTAGAACTTCATAATTTGTAATTCCATTTTGGGTAATCTAGTTGCTTTTTTTTTTTTGCCTTTAAAATCTGTATTACATGTCACATATCGATAAGGTTGACAGTTTTGGCAAAAACATTGTCCAGAGCAGTTATATCCTTGGTGGAATTTTGTGTGAAAAACAGAAATGTCTCAGAGAGCAGCTTGAACTTTCGGCATGTGTAGCTTTCTGTTTCAGTTTCTCCTGACATGTAGTTATCTGTCATGATAATTCACATTATTAAAGTTATAATTAAATTATAGAATTTTAATTTCTACTTTATTTGTGTTTAGACCATAGTTGCTTTGCTCTGTTAAATTGGACCAGTTACCTTCAGTGGCATCTTTAGTAAAAGTTCCAACAATCCTGATGCTTTGATTCTGACTCATGTAGTACCAGCATCGGTTTTGTTCAGAAAGGCCTGCTCCGCGTGGGAACAAAGGAGAGCATTCTCTGTGTCTTCCCCTCCAGCTC